ATCATTGCAATTGCTTTAGACACGTGTCCTGTGGAGAAAAAAAGGCGCGCAAAAGCCGTTGCTGTGTTCCCTTTGCTTCTCGTTCTGCCTCGCCCCCCCCTCACTCTTCACTAATCTTTTTCACCCACTCAAGACAATAGCATTGGATTCCGCACCGCAACTCTCTCCCTCTCTGCAAATTTTCGCTGAAAGCAAAACGGCAATGGCGAGCCCAACGCAGGACATGATCGACACGTACATGAGCCTCACCGGCGCCTCTCACTCACTCGCGCTGCGAAAGCTTGAGGTTCGATTCTCTCTCTCTCTCTCTCTCTCTCTTAATTTCTTATAATTTTCAGTAATTAAGCATATATTCTCGCCGTGTTTCGTTCTCTGAATCTTTGTAGATCATCATTATTACCTTGTAGTTTTATTTATCTCAAAATGAGCTAAACGGTGTCCCTTTGCTGCCTAGGGTTTCCTGTTCCATTTTCTTATGGCAAGATTGTGCAATTTCATGAGTTCTTGGTAAAATGTAGCTAATCATGCTTCAGTTCTACGCAAAATTGAGGGTGATATATTTAAAGAAGATCTTTAGTAATTTTCTGAAAAGAAAGAATATCAACTTTTCTTTTCTTTCATGTAGAAGTTATACATTTATTTACGGATATTGGTCTAAGATTCAGTTGTTGTTTGTGCAAATTTAATAGGCTGAATGGAATGTAATTTCCTCATTTTGTTTTTTAAGTAGCTTGAATGGGAATGTAGAAGTATTACATAGAGTAAAGACTCTGTGGATAGATCTTAACTGAATTGGCTCTGCCATTGCAGCATTTGATGAGTGCGCTAAGATTTTGTATTATTATTTTATTATCACTTGAAAATCCATTCATCAACACTATATATAGGTGGCATATCTTGATATTTATTGTTCACACAGTACCATGGGCCTTGTACGCCATTGGTATCATTAAGGCTTCCCATGCGTCCTTGGTTGGTTGTGAGCTTGGGAGCCGTGCCCCTGAGGTGGCTAGTTGATCAAGATTTCTTGAATGATAATTATCTATAGTCACCATTCTATCCTGTTGAAAACTGAAATTTAAATGTTTTGCATCGTGTAGGTGAGTTGTATTTTCTCTATGTGTCGTTCTGTCTTGGCTATCTTTTCTGAGTTGTCTGGTATGTCTTGGCTGGTAAACAGGAATATGGAGGCAATCTCAATGAAGCTGTGAATGCACATTTTAGTGGTGGAGATAGAGACTTGTATCGCATCTTGACTTCATCTCACTCATTATCTTCTTGCTCACCTTAGCAGTAAATATACTTAACATTCTGTTCTAGTGTCTCATCTCTCTTTGACACTTGTTTTACTTTTGGTCTTTCTGGTTCAGTACAAATCCGGGGTCTGCTGCTACCCCACAATACAGTTTCACTCATATGAGTGATCAGAATCAAGTTGCATCTCATGCTGCCCCCCCATACAATTTCCCTCATATGAGTTCTCGGAATCAAGTTGCACCGCAAGGAGTTGTACCACTTCTCTCTGCTGCTAGGAGTTTCAGGCCTTCATTACTATTTGATCCTAATTACAGTAGGGATCTCTTTAACCGGATCGGTTCTGCATTTACTGGTCGTGCTCCAGTAAGTTCACATCCAGGAGTTGTAGGGGGATATCCTGTAGATTTAAACAGAGGGATTGATCATCCTCATCTCTCAGGACAGAGGCCTACCATTCAGAACATGACAGGAAATCCACATGGCAATGATGTGGAGGAAGAAATGATTCGAGCTGCTATTGAGGCTTCAAAACGAGAGGCTGAAATGGCTTATCTGAATACGCAAACCAGGGCTCTCAATGTGTGCTACTGCTAATTTAACTGTTTTGGTCAATATCTTGTGGCTCCTGAAGTTATGACTCTTGTCAGATTTTTCCACGCAGGTTTCTCCTGTTAATGGACTTCCAGGAAATCAAACTCACCAAGACGATGATGATGATTTTGATCGTGCACTTTCATTGTCCCTGAAGGTTCCTAGCCTTGAATTACTTTTTCCTTTTTGTTGGGAGTTGGGTGCTTCCTTATCTTTGAGGTTCTTGATTTATTTTAAAATGAATTGAGTTCAGACAGCAGAACAAGAGAAAGCAATACGTGAGGAGAAAGGGAAAGACAGGAATCCCGAACTGGCATGGAAGGTATGACTTCTATTCATGGTATAGTTAGTTAGTTACATGTGGATACATGAGTGTGCATGAACTGACAAAATTTACAGTGAAGAAGAAAAAGTCAGTTTTAACAAGAACTGTATAGGAATTCCCGTTGAAACAATTTCTCTACAGGTTGTGGGAACGGAAACTGTTGGCTTTATGCTGCACATGTAAGGAACAAATGTTCTCTATCTATTGGCTGAAATCGTTCCAGATAAATTTTAGGCATTTTTTGATTGAGCAGGCCAGACAGAAGTTCTGTTTACTTACAAAGTCAAAACTGAGAAATTAGACAATCAAAAATCTCATTATCTTTCCCTGGAAAAGGAAAACATTTTATTTGTTCTAAAAATTATCTTTCTAAATTATAGCGAGGAAGGTCACTGCACCAAAATGGAGCTGAATTTGTAGAACAGAAACAAGTGAGTCAAGAGTTGAAGCGTGATGCTGGTAAAAATCTTCAGCAGGGTAGCCTGGACATTCATTGTGAAGTGGTATGAACTTCTTCTTGTAAAATTTTTAATTTAGCCCATTAAAAGAAACTTGACTGCTATACTAATCAAATTGTGCACATATCCTTGTAGTTAGGCAGCATTTCTTCCAGAGAGCTCGACGAAGCAATAATGCTTGAGACTGCACATTTTGGCCAATCTTCATATGCAACTAATTTGCCAAGTCGTCCAAATATAAATTTGGGTCCTAATATGCAGCCTGTACATTGCCCTTCATCATCTGCTCTAACAACAAGACAATTGCTAAGAGAACAACAGGTTTTAACATCCTGCTCCCAATCACTATCGTGAGAGTGTTGTCCAGCACTTGATTACTAGAAATATTACTTGCAGGATGATGAGTATCTTGCATCCATCTTGGCTGATAAAGAAAAGGAAATGCATGGTGTCACTGTTGCTGGAACTTGTCACTTAAAGGGAGTTGAACCTGACAACAAAAAGATCGATACATTGGTAAGCGTATCTAGTAGGTTTTTTTGAATTCTTTTTATCCTATCGTTTTCTTAGTAATAATCTATTTACAATTGATTTTTGATTCACCTTTCCACATATTACTTGAAATTGTGACGTTTTCCTCATATTTGATGCATTGACAGTGATACAAGGAAATCCTTAATTATCTCTTTTATTCTTGATCTCGTACATGGTTGAAGAAGTTTTTGGGTTTAACTCTATAAAAGTGATTCTAGATAACATGTTTTTTTCAGTGCTTAAGCTCCATGTAGTCAGTACTCATGGTGGAATCCTTGATAAGCAGAACCAGCGATTTCGAATAAGCCAAATGTATTATAAAAGACCCCAAGCCATTTAGACTTCGCCGTAGAGTACCTTACTGCATATGATAACTCAAAGTTATAGTGTGGTCTGTATTTGCAGATACAAAGCTGTAACTTTTCGTGCATAGGCTTTGATTACCTTGAGTACTCGTATTCCTTTGTTTAACCTTGCAGTGGTTCTGTAGTGGGGGCTTGCATGGCTACTGGAATATGTCTGTTAATGTATGAAGGAATAGAATTAGAGTCCAATAACCTCCCTTGACTGGTTTGGCATCCTCAATTTACACAGCATGCCCCTTTCCCTTGTTTGTTTGGTTTATGGTGGAATGAATCACCATTTCTATATTTCAATGGCTAGATGTTTTATTCAATCTATTGTCTCACTGATGACAGGAAGGTGAGCGAATGCTAGCTGCAAAAAGTGCTTCACTTCCTTGCGAACCAGCATCAGATGATGAGAATTCTGTGACTCTTCTGGTTAAGGTGCCAAATGGCAGCCGCCTTAGCCGCCGCTTTCACAAATTTGACAAGCTTCAGGTAAAATTTCAAAATGTTACAGAAATTTAATAGCATTTCTCTTTGTCCCAACTGACCAAACTTTTTGTTCCTATTTAGATTCTTTTTGACTTCATAGATGTTGGTGGAGTGGTGAAGCCTGGAACTTACAGAGTGGTAATTACTCTTCTCTGTACTTTTTATTTCCTTCTTTTCTTTTCTTTTTTTTTTAAAAAAAACTTTGAGAAGATTGCAGTCGGTAGTACCACTCTGGGAACGAGATAGCTTTTGTATGTCCTGATTATGTTGCTTGATTTCTATGAACAGGTGAGGTCATATCCTCGGCGTGCTTTTACTCTTGATGACAGCTTATTAACATTGAGCGAAGTTGGACTGACGAATAAACAAGAAGCCTTGTTTCTGGAATTGATTTAGATTATAGAGCTCTTCCTTGTAAGTTTCGTGGCTGATCATACAACTTGACACAAGATGAAAAGGTTGATAGTGTAAGTCTAGTCTACAGTTGATTCTTTTTTGCTAGGGAACTAAGGTACATGACCTGGGCTTGGAACCTAGCTCATGCCTTTGGAAGGTAGTGGATGTTAGATCTGGCTGATCCTAACGTTGCTGGAAACCAATTCTCATAGGAGGTTAAAATTTCAAAATCCCTGCTGTATGACGACAAACCTCGCAAACTAAACGAAACTAACGTGTTTTCATCAGGATGGCCGCCCTTTGTATATACTCTAAGTTCTGCTTTTCGCACGTCTTACAGGATCAAACTCGCATAAAACGAGTTATACAACCTGTTCTATTAAAGTCAAGTAGATGAGCAGTTCTATATGTCATTGTTCATCTTGTGGTGTGTTTTGTTGGTGAACTTCGTTTCTGGTACATGAATGAGAACATGTTTTGTGGCATTTGACTTTGGGAGCTGTCTCTTCTCTTTTGTTATAGTTTCCTTTGGCTCTTTGGCTACATTTTTCTTTTTTAATGCAATGTCAATAGATCAAGCATGTTCTTGGTTGTAAAATATTGCATTAAAATTTCTTCTTTTTCGTTGTTGTGTAGAATTGAATCAAGTGTCACACCACAATTCACGGGTGCTAGCCAAAACAAACAAAAAAATCATTTTCATTATCAAATTATCGACATAAAAATTGAACAATTTGAATCAAGAAAGAAGAGAAGCCCAATGTCTATGAATCTGTTTGGCTTTCTCCTTGATCTTGGCTAGGAGCTGGTGCTGTCCAGTACTGCTTGGCCGCCAATAATATCTTTTCTCTATGTATGGGACCATTTTCATGGTCAACGATTCTGGCATCGTATTGCATTGCATCCATGATGCTCTTGACTTTCACCAACACATCCACATCATCCCGGAAAATTATACTACCTTCTGGCCTTAAAATCCTATCCATTTCTAAAAGAATATCTTCCACTTCGCATCTGCAACACAAATAAATATATGTGCAAGTTAGTAAATTATGTCCCGTCACTATAATAATTTGAGAATGCTACTATCAGTCGCGTGTCGGCCATTCGTGGGACTCATACTAATGAATAACTTGAAAGCCTTCACATGCCCACACTCGACTGATGATCGCATTTATCAATATTATATCCAGATAAGTCAATGTTCAAGATTGCAAGGCTGATGAATAATCACCTGTCCTTGTAGAGACTAAAAACTGAATCAGAGTGGATGAAGTCATAGGTTCTTGGGTAAGTAGACATGGCCTCACACCTGCCATGAAACAAGTCATTAGCAACACTAACAGCGTAATTAATATAATGAAATGTTATTTCGTATCGTATAAGCTGGTTCCACTTCAATTAGTTATGTGGTTTACTATATGATTTGTAAATATGGTACAAATAGTTTTATTGTTACGGTATTTTAGGTAGGCATAAAAAAGCATACCAATTCTGATAAGTTCCAATCAATCCTCGTTCGTAAATGACTCCAAGGGTGTTAACCTCAGCCTCAACAGGGACAATGTTCATAACCCACACAGGGTCCTGAACTAGGGCAGCTGCAAAGCCTCCCAAGTAAGCGCTCATGTCGAGCAAATTCCGATACCTCCCGGGCTCTGCCAACTGATAATCCAAGGTCTTGTAGTATGCCACTCTTTTCTTCCACAGCTCTGTATTGTCTCTGAACATCTCAGCTGTAATTCCTGTCACACTCCCACTACTGATTCTTGGAGGGACTGAAGTTAGCCTCTCTGGCCATTTTGCCAATTCCCCTCCTGCAATTTCTTTAATGTTGTTCACTCCAGGCAGTGGGGTCAAACAATCCTCCATTGTAGTATACCTAACCAAAAAAAAACAACAGTGTTGAGTAAAACTTAAATAATAAATAAAATAAAAGCTCATTTGAGGCCAATCAAGTCGCTCTTTCCTTTTTTTCAGAACTGTTTCTTCATTCTTGGCAGCTAAACAAACATTGAGTAAAGAACAAAAAAGGTACATAAGGGTATGGGCAATGGAAGGTTGGACTTGGACAGTTTAACTAACACCATGTGTGATTGTCAGAAGAACTTCATGTACAGGATTTTATTTCCTATCTATTTAGAGATCCCACAAAGGTAAAACAAAATTCCTCAAAAACCCACAAAAGAAAAATTGAAACTGAGACTTGTATTTTAAGAAAGGAAAAGAAAGTAACATGTTAATTTTAGAAAAGCACATTACCATGCTTTGTCTGGATCTTGAGCTTGGCAGAAGGATGGTTTCTTGAAGACCTTTCTATTGACCTTACAATGAACATGGTTGGTGGGTTTTTGCCAAACTGCAAGATCATCCTTCTGCTTCAATTTCTTCCAGCACAAGCTTTTTGCTACATTCTCAATCATAGTCTGTTCAGCTTCAAGGTCCTCAGCTGTTCTATCCCAGCCTTTCCAGTGCTTCTCCCAATTAATTGGTGGTCCAGACAGAATCCAGTATCCACCGGGACGCAGAACACGATCAACTTCAATTAAGTAAAGCCCATCTGCATAATAAAAACCCCAAATTTTAAACAAGAACTTGAGGAGCAGAGATAATGTGATTATAAATGGCAGTGTCATAGTGGTTTTACCATATTGGCCCCAAGGAATGAGGCAACGAGAGCAATGAGCCATGTCAAAAGCTCTTGAGGGGTAAGGAAGTCTCTTGGAAGCAAGAATGCCAATCAATGCAGGAACTCCTCTCTCAAGAGCAAATTGAACTTGTGCTTCATGGGTGTCTCTTGGTGCAAACGACATTGGTAGGATGTCCCTGGACAAAAGGTAAGCTCCCCAACTTGCAACCTGAGTCAAAATATTAAGAACAATTGTCACCTTACTAAAATTACACATAAAACATATCAAATGTTAACATTGGTGCCATGAGGGTTTGAACCTAAAACCACTGGTTTTCAAGTCAATACCCTTTCGCACTGGGCTAGACTCGGTTGGCCAAATATTTTTGTTCTTTAAATAATTCTCATTACAATTTCATTAAATAAAAGTTATTGACAAATTTTTTTTTTGAACAATGAGAACAAAGCAATATGAGTAAATTTGAAGATGCTATAATTGAGGAAGGTTGGCAAGTAACTAACATATTCTTTAACATTAGTTTAAAATAATTAAAGCACATTAACTACTAACACTATAAAGAAAAAGAAGTACATTGCAAGAATTGCTTTCTCCCTTCTGCCAATGCTAATTAATAATAATATAAAGGTCTTCTTCATCGATTTCTTTTATGGACCACTTTACTTCAATGCCAAGACTACACATAATGGAAGGTTGTAGGGTTTGTAGCCAACCAGTAATTCAGTGTCAATTACAATTTACAACCCCATAATAAATAAATAAAACTATTTTGAGGTGATTTTCATTGTCTAATTCCCACTAAAAAAATTGTATCAGAAATGTAGATCCTGAAACAAATTATTTAAAAATTTAATTAAAATTGGAAACCTGGAGAAGACCTACTTACTATAGAAGAAATTTTTATATATTCCGGAACCCGGCTGATATATTAAAACTAAATTTAATTAAGACAAGCCGGAGTACATGGTTTTCAAAAACCATGTCCTGTTTCATTGTTAATTCCCAATATAATGTGGAATCTCACCATCATACCAACCCTGATTTTTTGTCTTGCTAATCTCCTATATCAAATTATGCCAAAGAGGAAACATATTTAAAAATTCTCTTAATTTCTACATATTGCCTTTCTGGGTCCACCAAGATAATGATAAAAAACAATTGTTAAAACGGTCATTTAAAAAAAATTATATTTATAAGGTGAGTATTGTGCTTTCTGCTCATATGTGGATCACAAAGGGAAGTTTCCTTGAGTTACTTTCTTTGGCAAATTGGTATTTCCTTGAATTACTCAAATTGTTATGTATAAACATGTCAAAACAAAGGGAAACAAATAAAAATAAAATCCCATCAGACCCGATCACCCTTTTCAAGCTTTACTTTCCCATTACTCAAACTTTAAAAAAAAGAAAGTAAAAAAGAAAGAACCAATTGAGAAATAAAATTCTCCCATTGGGTGTTAACAGACATGTAAATGATAATGTTTTCTTATCAGACAATCGAAAATATTGGTTACGCGTTCAGACAAGAGTTTTTCTTATGAATGTGCCAAATTTTCATTATGACACCGTAACAGAAAATAATCATGTAATAAATTTTCGATTTATAACATGTCAGACTGTCTAATAAAAACAAACAAACGTCCAAACAAATAACGGATTAGGCATATATACACACACATAAGCATGCACATACATATTGATGCCCATATACACCCAAAACATAACATCAACAATAACCAATTCAACATGGCAGCCACAACCGAACCACCAATCACCAAACTTAGAACAACAAATCACAATTTATTTCTCTTTTTTTTAAATAATTATTATTATAAAGAAAATAAAGAGAAGAGCGTTTACTTACCCCACAACCGGTATCAATGGCGGTCCGTACAGACCCATCTCTGAGATTGATCAGTTTCCCGATTTCATCAATATACGCATCCGCACCACGAGGAAACATGGTCCCGCCACCAGGGAATCTAAACCGGTCCCCTTCGTAATGAACCCAATTCTGCTTCTTCTTCTCCACGGTCAACTCCTTGTGCGGCACATTCGCGTACCAAACAGAGTCTCTGCTCTCCGGCCACCGAAACGGCACCGTATACCCGTGGGGCGCAGGAATCCGACACTTGAGAAGCTCCTCCTTCTCCGGGCAATGCCTCTCCCTGTAAACCAACCTCTCCCTGTCGAATTTCAGCGACCTCGTGACGTCCTGGCACGGCGTGTACTCGCTGAGCTTTGCATCGCAGGGAGGCAAGTGAGGCACACGCGCCGCCAGAGGTAGGGGGAGGTCCTCGGCGCGGTGGTGGGCCTCGAAGTCGAGGTGGATTGTTGTGTTCCTGGGGATTGGGGGACAGGAGGAGTCGGAGGTGGATATGGCGGCGGTGATGGCGGTGGTGCCGGTGGAGTGCTGCCAAATTCCGACGAGGTAGCAGAGCGTGCAGAGGACGGCGACTAACGTCATGTAGTACAGGTTGGCTCTCTTGGGTTTCAGTGAAAAGTGGTGAAGTGGACTTGGCGAAGCCATTGTTTCAGTGGGAGAGAGAGAGAAAGAGAGAGAAAGAAAGAGAAGGTTTTGTTTATATATATAGGAGTGGGGGAGACTAGAGAGTTCGATGAAAAATGAGGACTTCAAGGTTGATATTATAATTTTTTTGGGGGGATTTTACTTCTTTTGGCTTTTGGGGGGAAATAAGAGGAAACAATTTCCATATTGCGAAAAACAAAAATAATATACATCTCATTACATATAAATTTTAATTAGATTGTGTGAAAACGCAATTCGGGTTTGACAAATGAAGAGCCTCTGTTTGAATTGAAGACCAAAGTTGGCTCTTGCACACGAGATTGTCTGGATTTATTGAATGCGTGTATTAAGAGAGAAAGTGCATAGTGTGTAGTTAGTTGTATGGGAGTGTGTAATTACGTCTGCATCTTTTACACCCATTTGTTTTGGAAATTTATTATTTACTTACCATATTGGGATTATTCACTGTAATTTCTTTTTCTTATTTTCCTCCATAAATATTAAGGTTTTGTGATTCCCAAGATCATTAAATCCCTTGGAAGTAATCAATTCCTTTGACTATGGTAATTAAGAGTGAAACTACACAAATCACGTATTAACTTCAAGAAGTTTTATTTTTATTTTGTGTAAAATTGTGTAATAAAATTTCTTATATTTTAATAAGAGTATTACTAGAGACACTAATTTATTATATAAACTTTTAGATATTAATTGATAAGATGAATTTTATTTATTCAAAATAAATAAGAAATTACCACATCATTTATTCTTAGAAAAGTCTTTGTCTCTAGAATTATTGTTTTAATAAACATGTGCCTTCATGGATGACAAACTCATTTCTGTATTTGCTTAATTAATAAGCATTTTCATTTATTGTTGCATTTTGTTGCTTGTGATATGAAACAACTTAATTAGTTTTTAGTTTAGTGGTACAACTCTTCTTTTCGCAGTATTTTTTTCAATGTTAAAAGAGATCTCAAGTCAGAAATTCCATTGTCCAATTCGTTTTTAAGTACATGTATCATGAATAAGTTGAACAATAGTGGTTGTGAATATTCTCGTCAACACAAAAACCGTTTCTAATACCGTACAAATACAATACAATCCAATCAACTTAAGTCTATCTCTCATTGATAATGTTAAATAATAACAATAAACTTTTGGAATATAGTAGTTTACTATTTGATTAGGCAACTCATAATCAATCGATCATTTAATTAATTAGACATTGAAATGACATCTTTTGTCACAACCCTTTTAAGAACAAACAAAAAAAGAAAAGGTGATTATCTCTTAAGCAAATTACAAAGAAGTTGAATGTTTGCTTGCGTAGAAAGTTTTAGAGGATGTTGTTGATCGTGTTGTGCTTGGTTGATAATGGCATTTGCCACTCTCAACGCGCGTGAGATAAGGAAAGGCCCCTCAGAATTTGGAGGTTCTTATAATCTTATTGGGTGCTTGCACGAACCAACAAGCAATCCAAAAGGGGCTTCTACAAAAAGTCATAAAAAAGTGCTTCTGATTCCTTCTTCTGACATACAAAATTACAAACAAACAAAAGCTCCTAACAGAAGAACTTTTCCTGCATGCAATGATATTTTAACTCCAACGACGGGAATATTACGATATTTGAATAAGGGCCACGAATATTGCGTTTCTTGTGCGCTGCTGAAATCAATGGGACCAACAATTATTTTTATTTTTATTTTTGTGTACTGCAAGGATTTATAGTCACCGGTGAATTTATAAATTTTTCCTTTAAAAAAAATATATACATTTAAAATACCAGAAAATGCTCTTGGTTAATGCAAACATTAAGAATTGAAATTATTAATTAAATGAGGATAATATGGTAAATTCACACTTTTTCATATTAACAAAATTTAAAATTAAAAGAAAATTAAGATAATAGATCATCTTTTTATGGAACACAACTGCCCACCGTTGAATTACAAATTACTTTCTTGCCTAGCCTTTGGTGCATTTCAACAAACACTTGCTCTCCTCCCCAAAACTTAGTTGTTTAGCCTTCCACCTTAGATGAGTTTTGGGGCAAAAATAAACAGAGTCAACTTGTTGAGTGTGGGGCAGTAGCCCCTTCCAGCGCCTCAATAGATATGTGTCCTCCTTGTAGCTCAAATGGTTAATAATGTTGTCACTACACATATGATCTTGTATTCGATCAATATTCATATGTTAATTGAGAAGTAAAATGCTAAACTTAAAATCATCAAAATTAGTTTCGAGGTTAAAATATATATTTAGTTATATTTTTTTTCTCAAGCATTTGAAGGAATCTCAAGTTTGAAATTGTTGTTGTCATTCCCCTTTCGCACGCAGCATGGGTTTCACGATTTGCAAGTACCCATAACAAGAGAATGATGGATGGGTAAACTGATAATGCCAAGCAACGAGTGGGACGATTTAGCCTCCACCCGTCTTTGTAACCATTCACTTTCTTTAATTTCATTGGATGCTAAACTGGTGTATTTTCTGGTATACCTTCTAACTTCTCTAGCCTCCAGTCTCTGATAATGCCAAAAACCCAAAAGGAGCAACAAGCCTGAATTGATGTATATATATAGAGATCCTCAAATATTGTAGGATCCACTCCGCATTGTATTTCATTAATTCAAATCGTCTATTTTTTAGATAATCATTCAAAGATCATCTCTACAAAAAATCACTTGAATCCAATATCATTTGACCACTCAATTGAGTTATTGAAATTTTAGTACTTTTTTGAAGCACCGTGTTCATTAATTTTGTATGACACAATTGGATGTCAAAACGGTTTCCAATTTGTCTAATTTTTTGCAAAGATGATCTATGAATGTAAAAAAAATCATAAGTAACCCTAAAAGATGCCCCTCATCCTAGTCACATCTTCAACTTCATTGGACCATAATTTCTTCAAATTTTGGACAAACCCACATAATTTTATAAAAAAACTTGACTGAAAAGCAGAAATTCTGCTTTACGCTGGAAACTATAAGTGCTTTTTATTGCTTAAGGGGTTAAAATTTCTTGATTCAATTGGTATTTGGAGTGGTCTGAAATTTGTAGAGTTGCATACGGTAGCAGGTTAGGGTTTAGGCAAAAATAAACAGAGTCAACATGTTGAGTGTGGGGCAGTAAGCCCTTCTAGCGCCTCAATAGATATGCATCATCCTTATAGCTCAAATGGTTAATAATGTTTTCACTACACATAAGATCTTGTATTCGATCAGTATTCATATGTTAATTGAGAAGTAGAAGGCTAAACTTAATATCATCAAAATTAGTTTCGAGGTTTAAAAATATATTTAGTTGTTATAGCTCCCTATGATAAAATAGTTTTTGATTTAGTTATATTTTTTTTCTCAAGTATTTGAAGGAATCTCAAGTTTGAAATTGTTGTTGTCATTCCCCTTTCGCCCGCAGCATGGGTTTCACGATTTGCAAGTACCCATAACAAGAGAATGATGGATGGGTAAACTGATAATGCCAAGCAACGAGTGGACGATTTAGCCCCCACCTGTCTTTGTAACCACTCACTTTCTTTAATTTCATTGGATGCTAAACTGGTGTATTTTATGGTATACCTTCTAACTTCTCTAGCCTCTAGTCTCTCTGATAATGCCAAAAACCCAAAAGGAGAAACAAGCCTGAATTGATGTATATATACAGGGATCCTCAAATATCGTAGGATCCACTCCGCATTGTATTTCATTAATTCAAACCGTCTATTTTTTAGATAATCATTCAAAGATCATCTCTACAAAAAATCACTTGAATCCAATATCATTTGACCACTCAATTGAGTTATTGAAATTTTAGTACTTTTTTGAAGCACCGTGTTCATTAATTTTGTATGACACAATTGGATGTCAAAACGGTTTCCAATTTGTCTAATTTTTTGCAAAGATGATCTATGAATGTAAAAAAAATCATAAGTAACCCTAAAAGATGCCCCTCATCCTAGTCACATCTTCAACTTCATTGGACCATAATTTCCTTAGTACTTTTTTAAAGCACCGTGTTCATTAATTTTGTAAGACACAATTAGATGTCAAAACGGTTTCCAATTTATCTAATTTGTTGTAAGGATTATCTATAAATGCAGACTTAAAAAATAGATGGTTTGGATCATTGAAAAAAAAAATCGTAAGTAACCCTAAAAGATGCCCCTCATCCTAGTCACATCTTCAACTTCATTGGCCCATAATTTCTTCAAATGTTGGACAAACCCACATAATTTTATAAAAAAAGCTTGACTGAAAAGCAGAAATTCTGCTTTAAGCTGGAAACTATAAGTGCTTTTTATTGCTTAAGGGGTTAAAATTTCTCGATTCAATTGGTATTTGGAGTGGTCTGAAATTTGTAGAGTTGCATAGGGTAGCAGGTTAGGTAGTAGGTCCTATATATCCTAATCAGATGGCACAAAATCTCAAAAGAGTAGTTACAACTTACAACTTACTAAATATTGGTGAAATTTGACTTTAAACCTCAGTGTTTTAAAAAGGCATCTTTGTCTCCCAATTATGACTTTCTCATATATACCCATGTGCCAAGTTTACATAATATAGATGCATTCACCAAGTTTCTGTCTTCATAGTACGAATCCTTGCTTACCAAAATTAGAGACTTCCTTGCCAGTTGGCATAGGTCTTCAAGTTGTTTCCTATTTCATTGTTAGGAATAAAAAATTACGTAGAAGAGAAAAGGTAACTGGCATTTCTCATAAACTAATACGGGTAGAGATTTTCTTGCCAATTGGCATAGCTCTCAAATCCGAGATGATGGAGAATATTTGTCACCAGCAAAAACAGAAATGTATTATTTTTTCTAATGTAATTTTGTCAACGCTCAGTCATGTGCATATGGGTATAAAATTACGTGCATAAAGCCACAACTAAGGGAGGGAAGATTGGAAAGCATAAGCAAGGAGACTTCAATTAAAATATGTTTGATAAGTAAAGAATTAAGATGTTGTTTTCTCCGTTCTGCAACGTGGTTTGATGATTGAGATTATACATTACAAAATGACAAAAAGAATAAATAAGGTAATATGAGATGGAAGGTAACTAGCATTCTTCATAAACTAATACGATTATGGGTGCTCAATACTT